AAAAAGTTCGGCCTCATGGGTCTTTTTTCCTCCGAGATAACCAGTTAACCGGAAGCAGGGACTTTGTGTCTCTTGCTGGTCCCTTCCAATCTATCAGAGGGGGCCCCTTCCCCTCCTTGCAGCCCTCCCTGGCTCAGCATCCAAGCTTTCATGTAGGGTTCATGTGGCCAACCAGCCAGCTCAGCATTTCAGGTGACTTGCCTCTGTCCCCTGCGCTGGCCATTCCTTCCTGCTACCCTAGACAGCTCCTTTCTCTGAGGTAACCTCTCCAGTGTTGTCTTGACCTGCCGAGCCGCAACCCTAACCCCTGCAAACTCTGCCTGTTCTCCCTTGTGCCCCAGTGGGCAGTCAGTACGTGGCTATGCTCCCACTGGTTGGTTTTCACCAAAGGTAGAGCTAAATTCCCCTGCTGTAGCCTAAGGTCCTTTCCTGGGGCCTTCTAGAGAGCTGGCACACTTCCATATGGTTCCACCTGGGTTGGGGGAATAGAGAGAGCCATCTGGGGAGTCAGTAAAAAGAGTCAAGAGTACAGGCCTCAGGGATGGGTGGTCCCAGAATGTCTCCATGCTCTTGGAACAGAAGCCTCCTCAGGAGGACAACGGGGGTCATGGCCACGCCGTGGAGGGCTGCGTGCTCGTGCTTCAGTCACAACCTTCTCGGTGAAGAAGCCAACAGCAGATTCAGCCTTGGAGGCATCTCTAGCCAGGGCCGCTTTCCTCCCAGGGCACCTCTGATCTGGCGTTGTAGGTTGCAGATGTGGAGTGGATGGGGTGCGTTCGGCCCAGGAGGGTGGGTGGAGGGAGAACCCACACTCCAGGTTCATCCTGCTTTGTGCCTTCCAAATTTAGCTTTCCTATTTTTAAATTGCAAATGGTGAACTCCCGACACCTCAGCTGGGATCAAAGTCAATCTTTCTGAATGTTCTTTGGAAGGAGACATTTGAGGAAAGCAGGGGGGAGCAGGGGACACACCTGCCCTCCTGCCCAGAAGCACAGGGCACCGGCTCCTACAGGGACAAACCAAACACTGAGGATGACACCGGGAAACAACCACAATGACACTCCTGGAGACCCCTGACTGGTCCCCCTGGACCTGAGTTAGAGCATGGAAGACTCAGATGGTGTCTGTTTGTCCTGGTAACACCAACAGGGTGACGGTCTGTAGAACTCTACCCTCTTTGTCCCAACAGACCCACTGTGTACCTGAGAAAGAAAGCAGAGGCTCAGGGAAGCCAAACCCCACACTATCAGGGGAGGGCCCAGAGTCTGATCAGAGACAGGGCGGGGGTGCCGGGCACCGAGGAAGACAGGGAAGCCCTGTACAACCATCTGCCAGCCCTCCCTGAAAAGCCTAATGACCAGAGCCAATCAGTGAAGACACCAACACTGCAGTGGGGACAGAGGTCAAAAGACACCCTGGGGTAAGGGGAGACCTTGGGATGGTAGCTGGGAGGACAGATGGCATTGGGAGGGGCTGGAGGAGGAGGAGCATTAAGAGAGGCGGGGAGAAGCATCAGGAGAGCCTGGAGGAGTCTGGGAGAGCATTGGGAGAGGCTGGGAGAGCATTGGGAGAGGCTGGGCCCACTGTGTTCTAATTCATTCAGGCCTGAACCTGAGAAGACACTCATGAAGACACCATCAGGGCCCCTGAGCTCTTCGTGGAGCACATCAGTCCCCTGACTCAGGGTGGGAGCTACTGATCACAGCTCCCCATCTGTCTGGGCAAGGAGTCCTAGTCTAGTAGGGCTTGAGACAGAAACCAGCTGGTCTAAAGCTCCCAAGTGTTTGCCAAGTGGGGAAGGAGGAAGCAGCCTTCTGCCAGCTTCCTCTACCAGGATTAATTCTGGACCATGCTAAGCCCCCAAAAGCAAGAGGGACAGCAGCAGCAGGAGAGGGTCCCACCCGCCCCTGGACTTCCACATCAGAGCCTCAGAATGGGACCTGGCCCTGGTTCCACCTGAACAGGCCCAGTTCTACAAAGGGCTGCTGATCCAAGTATCCTGAGTGCCCACTGCACACAGGCCCCCTGCTGCTCTTCAGGAGGGGAGACTGAGACACAGCTTGACTAAGGCCACACAGTAATGAAGGAAACAGAGGCAGAGCTCAAATCTGGGTCTGACTGGCCCTAAAGCCTGGGTCATGACAGGCGACACAGCCATTATTTATTGCATGCTTCTGTGCAAGAGACAGCAGGACACAAAGCTCTGCCCAGGGAGCTTACTCCATACCTGAGTGTCAGTCACACAGGACAGCAGGGGGTGGCACCCAGTGTCTGAGGGAGAAGGAGGCTGTGTTGCTTCCCTGAAGTCCCCTGAATGGGGGAAAGGGTATGCTTGTGTGGGAAGGACAGCAGTCCAGGGCCAGGACTGTGATACAAATGGCCCCAAGGCACCCAAGCACCGAGGAGGCAGCCATCAGCTTGGGGAGAGGGAACCTGAGCTGACCTAGTGTAGCAGCAAGGACACAGGGGACAAGCCTCAGCCGAGGGCGCTGATCTGCTTTTCTCTGGTGGGAATGGCCCCTCGATGCCTTGAACACTAACGACACAGCATCCCCGAGCCACCTTTGGCCTCAGACTTGGGCTCACTATGACCAACAACACTCTTTCAGCTCCCCAACACATCTGCAGGCTACTCTCCTGACTTGTGGCCTCATGGGTGAGGAAAAGGGGCACAGGGGGAAAGGAGGCAGGTCTTGCCCTGGACTAAACTCTAGAACAGGGTAAGGTGTGAAGTCAGCCAAGTCCCCTCACCCCAACCTGTGAGTCCCTGGGCCATCAAGCAGTTTCCGAGTGACAATTCTGGTAGTGTTTGAGACTCATGGGCCTGCCCAGGTCCCTAAAGAGCTAGGCTTCCTGTATCCGTCATTGTTCTATTGCTGTTAAGAAACACCATGACCATTGCAATTCTTATAAAAGAAAGCATTTAATTGGAGCTTATAAACAGTTTCAGAAGTTTAGTCCATTATCATCATGGCAGAAAGCATGGAAGCAGACATGGTTCTGGAGCAGTAGCTGAGGGTTCTACATCCTGATCTGAAGGCAGAGAGAGAGAGAGAGAGAGAGACAGAGAGAGACAGAGAGAGACAGAGAGAGACAGAGAGAGACAGAGAGAGACAGAGAGAGACAGAGAGAGACAGAGAGAGACAGAGAGAGACAGAGAGAGACAGAGAGAGACAGAGAGAGACAGAGAGAGACAGAGAGAGACAAGAGACAGAGAGAGAGACAGAGAGACAGAGAGAGAGACAGAGAGAGAGAGAGACAGAGAGAGAGACAGAGAGACAGAGACAGAGAGAGAGACAGAGACAGAGACAGAGGGAGGTGGGAGGGAGGGGGGAGGAGACAGAGAGACTGTGCCTAGCACGGGCTCAAAGTTCATCTCCAGTGACACACTTCCTCCAGCAAGGCCACACCTCCTCGTCCTTCTAATCCTTTCAACAGTCCCACTCCCTGGTGACTAAGGGTCAAGTACGGGGCCCTGGGGGCCACATTTCTTATTCAAGCTGCCACACTGCCTAACACAGCCCAGTCAGTCTCTGAAGACGCCTCTGGGGCCCTGCTCCCCCGCATCGCCCCTTCCAGGACAGTCACATGGCTGTGGCCAGCACAGACACCCAGCCGGCCGTGGGCAAGTAGCAGGGCAGAGGGCCAGAGAGGTGACTAGGATGCACAAGGTGGAGCTTTGGTGTCCCGTAGGGCGCAGGTGAGTGGCGGGGCCCTGTGGAGGCAGACAGAAGACCCGGAGCCCATCGTCCCGAGGAGGACAACACTCTCAGGACCAGCAGGTGACGGCGCCACCCCAGCGTTCCCGACCTGCAGTGTGAAGGCAACAGGAAGCTGCTGGTACCTGTTCACTCCCAACATCACATTAAGAAAAACTAGGAACACACACTTATCGACTGGGCACCACAGCCGTTTGCGCAATGCCTTTACTAATGCAGCCCTCACACCGCGACGGCTTCTCGCGTCCATCTCACAGATGGGTCCCTGAGGCCCAGCAGGCAGTGGGGACAGCCCCTGCCCCGGCCTAACCTCCAGCCAACGTTAGTGTCACCCACCCAGGGGCAGGGTCTCAGTTGCCAGTTAGTGCCAGATCTTAATGTCTCCTCCCCAGGAGCAGGTGCCAAGGACAGAAGGCAGCACGGGATGGTAGGTGGTGCCCAGGCAGGCCTGAGCGTGTCCTTGCAGTGTGCACGCCCGCCTGGCAGTGCGGAAGCTGAACATCAGAACCCGGCCATCCGCGCTGCCTGTCACCAGCAGGTCACCACACGGTGAGCATTCACAGCCCACAGCATAGCCTTCCACCTGTGAAGAGAGACAGAGCAGGAGACCTGTGAGGTGGTGGCTATGACCCCACACTGCAATGGGTAAGCTGAGGCCAAAAACCGCCGAGCACAGGGTTGGCTTTACGCCTAGTGACCCTGAGGCCAAAGGCTGAGCTCCTGCTAGAGGATGGTGGGGGACCTGGTATCCCAAGGTCACCGGCCCCAACAGTCATGTCACACCCGAGGGCCACGGGCTGCAGGTCTCCAGGACACGAACGCCCGAGACGAATTAAAGCAGTGTGTGCGGTTTATTTTATTTTGGTGTGGTTTATTTTATTTTACTGTGGCTCAACTGTATGGCACTTGAGCATAAAGTTCACAAATGACAGCATCTGACCACAAAGTCCTGGTAATGGAACCCAGATGCTGCACCTTCTGCAGAGCTGGGGTTTGGCACCAAGTAGTCAGTGAGTCCCCGGCCTCTTGCAGCCCGGCAGAGTGGGCCTCAGGCAGGAAGTGGGTACACAGAGAAGCGGCTCCCACGTCCATCTGACCCTGGTCCTGTCACCGCCCCATGGCATATGAACAGACATGCTCTCCTGCGTGTGGCTGGGCACGTGGCCTAGCCCTGGGTGAACCGTCAACCACACGGCAGTAGTCATCCACCTAAGCAGCACAGTGCCCAGAGGGGCCACATGCCCTGGAGTTCTGGTGATGCCCAGTGGGAAGCCTTGCGGCATTTGACCTAAGGAACAGAGATGGGGGTACCTTGTGCCCTTCATAGCGCCGCCGTCTGCTCATCCGGTAGGGCCACACAGAGGAGAAGAGGGCCAGGTAGTTGCCGTTGGATTGTGCCAGGAACACAGGCTCCCTCGGATGCAGGGCGAGGCTGGGGCAGGTGTACCTCTCCTGTGAAAGCAGGACCGGCCGCGGAGATGGAGGCTTCTGCCCCGCGATACCCACCCGGCCACACTCTGCTCTTGGGGCTTTGTCCCCTTCCCCTGACCTTGGCTTGGGAGTCTGTATGGGTGGCTGTGGTGGTAACAAGTTACCACACACGCGAGAGCTTTAAAACAAGCTCCTGTCCTGCAGCTCAACAGTCTGAGTGGAGCTGCGCGGCCTCGCCGGGAGTCAACACACACACGCGGGTCCCTTCTGCAGGGTGTGAAGCGAGGCCCTCTCATTCACACGTACACACTCCCAAACGACACACACCAATCTCAGAGACCAGCCGCTCTGCCGCCCAAGTGCCGAGACTGAGGTGGGCGCCACCACACCTGCTCTGTGTCTGCCCTTAACCACCATCCCGACAGAGCAAGCAGCTCCGCGGGAACGGCTGGGAAAGCAGGTGATGTCCCGGTGCAGCATTTGAGCAAAGCGCGCAGGTGGCCCCTGAGGATGTGATGACGGGGTTGAGGTAGAGGGTGAGCAGAAGCGCCCTCACCGGCCCGCACCGCATCTCTGCCAGGCTACTAAGGCAGTCTGAAGGCCAGCTTGCTCAGGTTCACCAGAACCGGCTGAGCAGAAGGGCACGGCAGGGGGGACAGGGTCTAGGTGCACTCAGGGTCACCACTAAGACAAGGGGAGGACACCCGAGGGACCAGTGAGGGTTTACCATTACCAAAAGACGGTGACAGTGGTGACCATGGCCACAAGGGAGATGGAGGTGGTGGTGGTGGTGATCACAGCCATGGTGATGGTGCCAGAGACGGTGGAGGTGGTGGTGGTGATGGGGACAGTGCTGGTGGTGCAGGTGGAGACGGGGGTGCTTATGTTATTGATTACAGTGTTCGTGGTGGTGCCAGAGATGCTGGTGGAGACGGAGGGAGGCAGTGACGACAGTGATTATGGCGGTGGTGGTGCTGATGGAGATGCTGGTGACGATGACTACAGTGCTGATTGATAGTGGTGGAGGGGCGGGGGGGGGTGACTACTGTGTTGTTGTAGGCGGTGGAGATGGTGGTGGTGGTGGAGATGGTGGTGGTGGTAATGATTGCAGTGTTGGTTATGGAGATGGTGACGGTAGTGACTACAGTGTTGGTTGTAGTGGTGACAAGGTGATGGTGTGGTGATGGTGTGGTGATGGTGTGGTGATGGTGTGGTGTGGCGATGGTGTGGTGTAGTGTGGTGATGGTGTGGTGTGGTGATGTGGTGATGGTGTAGTGATGGTGTGGTGTGGTGTGGTGATGATGTGGTGAGCTGTGGTGTGGTGATGGTGTGGTGTGGTGATGGTGTGGTGAGCTGTGGTGTGGTGATGGTGTGGTGTGGTGATGGTGTGGTGAGCTGTGGTGTGGTGATGGTGTGGTGTGGTATGATGATGGTGTGGTGATGGTGTGGTATGGTGATGGTGTGGTGTGGTGATGGTGATGGTGTGGTGTGGTGATGGTGTGGTGATGGTGTGGTGTGGTGATGGGGTGGTGATGGTGTGGTGTGGTGATGGGGGGGTGATGGTGTGGTGATGGTGTGGTGTGGTGATGGGGTGGTGATGGTGTGGTGTGGTGATGGGGGGGTGATGGTGTGGTGATGGTGTGGTGTGGTGATGGGGTGGTGATGGTGTGGTGTGGTGATGGGGGGGTGATGGTGTGGTGATGGTGTGGTGTGGTGATGGGGTGGTGATGGTGTGGTGTGGTGATGGGGGGGTGATGGTGTGGTGATGGTGTGGTGTGGTGATGGGGTGGTGATGGTGTGGTGTGGTGATGGGGGGGTGATGGTGTGGTGATGGTGTGGTGTGGTGATGGGGTGGTGATGGTGTGGTGTGGTGATGGGGGGGTGATGGTGTGGTGATGGTGTGGTGTGGTGATGGGGTGGTGATGGTGTGGTGTGGTGATGGGGGGGTGATGGTGTGGTGATGGTGTGGTGTGGTGATGGGGTGGTGATGGTGTGGTGTGGTGATGGGGGGGTGATGGTGTGGTGATGGTGTGGTGTGGTGATGGGGTGGTGATGGTGTGGTGTGGTGATGGGGGGGTGATGGTGTGGTGATGGTGTGGTGTGGTGATGGGGTGGTGATGGTGTGGTGTGGTGATGGGGGGGTGATGGTGTGGTGATGGTGTGGTGTGGTGATGGGGTGGTGATGGTGTGGTGTGGTGATGGGGGGGTGATGGTGTGGTGATGGTGTGGTGTGGTGATGGGGTGGTGATGGTGTGGTGTGGTGATGGGGGGGTGATGGTGTGGTGATGGTGTGGTGTGGTGATGGGGTGGTGATGGTGTGGTGTGGTGATGGGGGGGTGATGGTGTGGTGATGGTGTGGTGTGGTGATGGGGTGGTGATGGTGTGGTGTGGTGATGGGGGGGTGATGGTGTGGTGATGGTGTGGTGTGGTGATGGGGTGGTGATGGTGTGGTGTGGTGATGGGGGGGTGATGGTGTGGTGATGGTGTGGTGTGGTGATGTGGTGATGGTGTGGTGTGGTGTGGGGATGGTGTGGTGTAGTGTGGTGATGGTGTGGTGATGGTGTGGTGTGGTGATGGTGTGGTGTGGTGAGGTGTGGTGAGGTGTGGTGATGGTGTGGTGTGGTGTGGTGTGGTGTGGTGGTGGAGAACGTGGTAGTAGTGACTACCGTATTGGAAGTGGTGGTGTTGGAGATAATGGTGGTGGGGACTACGTTGCTGACAGTAGTGGTAGTGATGGTGACAGAGACTACAGTGTTGTTGTTGGTGGTGGTGATGGTGGTGTTTGTGACTATAGTGTTTTTGGTGGTCGTGGTGGTGAAGATGGTAGTGATGGTGACTCCAGTCTTGCTTGTAGAGATGGTGATGGTAGTGACTATGGTGGTGGTGGTGGACATGGTGGTGGTGATTGCAGTGTTGGGGGTGTTGGAGAAGGTGGTGGTAGTGGCTACATTGTTGGTGATAGTGGTGGTTGTGGTGGTTGTGGTAATGACTATAGTGTTGGTGGAGATGGTGGAAACGGTGGTGATGGTGGAGATGGTGGTGATGGTGGTGATGGTGGAGACGGTGGTGGTGGTGAAGATGGTGGAGACGGTGGTGGTGGTGATGGTGGTGATGGTGATGATGGTGGTGATGGTGGAGACGGTGGTGGTGGTGATGGAGATGGTGATGGTGGTGGTGATGGTGGAAATGGTGGAGATGGTGGTGGTGGTGATGACTACAGTGCTGGTGGAGGAGATGGTGGCGGTGGTGACTGTGTTGGTGGTGGTGGAGAAGATGGTGGCAGTGGCCACCGTGTTGTCGGTGGTGACAGAGATGGTATCATGGTAATAGCTATGTGGTGGAGGTGGTGGAGATGGTGGTGGTAGTGATTCCCGGGTCGGTGATGATGTGGTGCTAATTGATGTGGTGTAGACGGTGGTGGTGGCAATCAGTGATGCTAATGGCCATGGTGGCGGTGATGGTTGTGGAGGTAATGATCACAGCGATGGTAATGATGGGTGGTGATGACACAAGTGATGAGATGATGGTCACAGTGCTGGTGATATTGGTGATAGAGGTGGGGGTGGCCATGGTGATGTTGGTAGTGACGGTCCCTGTGTGTGATACTGTGTTAGAACTTTGTGTTTTCTCTCTGTAGTTCTCACACCCTATGAAATGAGATTTATCCAAAGTGAGCACTGTCACCGCCACGGGTGGCTGGACCAGAAAGCGCAGTCCACAGAGGCCGTCAGTGTGTGCGGCAGAGCCCGGCCTGACCGTGCCTGACCCCCGTCCTAGACATTTCAAACAGCTCATCTCCTCCTCCCCAGATAGAGAGGGCCAGGACCCCGGCCTAAGGCTACAAGAATACCCCCTTGGCTGACACCACGAACAATGCTACACAAGGCTTCTCACGTGGTAAATTTGGTTGGAGATTTTTGCAGCAGTCCGGAAATCCCAGGCAATAATGGTTCGGTCAGCCGAGTCCCGAGTGGATGCGTCAGTGCTGCTCAGGAATGAGGACCCTTCTTGGAGAAAGAGGATGTCCAGGGTCTGTTGGATGGTTGCCTTGTAGCCTTTCACCACCTGCGGGAATGGGCATTGGTCACCATGGTGAGCCTGGGAGCTGAGGGCAGGTGCCACCCAGGGAGAGCCAAGGACAGTTACCAAGTACCAGGCATGGCAGAGTGATAAAAACATACTAGGCCAGGCACACATGCAGTTTGGCAGGACTTTACAGTCTCACCAGGCCTCCCAGAGGCAGCCGCCCTGGTTATGCCCACGCCGCCTCTGTCAGCGCAGGGTGGGTCCAATGAGCGGTGCTTGTTTCCCGGGAGGCCAGGGCATGAGGAATGGGCTCCACCCTGCTCTCGGTCCCCGAGCAACCTCCAGTGGGAATGGAGTCACACGTCGGGAGACAAAGTCTGGACCCCTTGCTGCCCCGATGAGTAAGGTAACAAAGGGAGCACGCATCCGTGGAGACGGAAAATAACATCACAGCATCACACCAGAGCATGGAGTTCACTTTCGTTGTTGTTGTTTGTTTCCTGGAACTCGCTCTGTCTGTAGACCAGGCTGGCCTCACACTCAGAGTCTGGGGTTAAAGGCGTGCTGCGCCGCCACAGCCAGGCAGAACGTAGTTGCCTCTTAAAGGCATTCTTTGTGTTCTGGGGCCCAGGACAAGGACTCGATGCAACTATGTGAGTGAGCGCTCATGGCGTGATGCCAACTTCAATACTGAGAAGACTACCCACTGCCGTCTGCACACAAGCACAGCCAGGATGGCAGCTGCCCTGCCCCCTGGAACTGGCCACGGGTTATCAGCTCCCTGGGCGCCACCATGTGGCTACAGCAGACACACAGTTCTCAGGTGATCTGCTCCACTGGCTGCCAAGTGAGCAGTAGTCACATAGCCAGGTGAGGCCCACACTGGGTTACCTGCTGGCCAGTCTCTACCTCTGTAGGTTCCTAGGGACCAACGTGGGCAACAAACGACTTGGCCTCTCTATCAACAGCCACCCTGGAGAGGAGAGGCCAGGCCGCAGAACCACGAAAGCAGACACATGTTTGCAGCAGCCCCGCAGGCACCAGGAGCTGCTTGCTTTCTTGCACGCCGTTCCCTGACACCAGAATTCAAAGGCACAGCTCATAGGTTGGCAGGGAACGGCACAAGACGGCCAGGGTCCACACTGCTGCTGAGATATATCCTAGATAGGACCCAGGAGAGGACAGGATGCATCAGGCCCCAACATCTGCCCCTGCAAGTTCACACAGCATCCAGTGTTCAAGTGCAGTTGCTAGCGGGCAGAGGACTCACCTTGACCCTGACAGTCTCTTCACTGGCTTTGTCATCCCCTAAGCCAGTTAGCAGTTCTCACCCCTCCTAACGCCGGGGCCCTTTACAGCTCCTCATGCTGTGTTGACATCCAATCAGACAATTACTATTTTTTGCTATTTCACAACTGTAATGTTGCTACTGTTATGAATTGTAGATATCTGTGTTTGCCAATAGCCTTAGATGACCTCTGTAAACAGTCATTTGACACCCAAAGGGGTTGAAATCCACAGGTTGAAAACCACTGTCCTAAGCAGTTCAACCCACCACCCTTAAAGCCCTTCTGGGATCACTTGGCATCTCTGTGACCATGTTAAGATACACATCCCCCTTCTGTCTCTCTCTCCATCACCCCAGGCTAGGCTGCTAGGCAGTCAAGAGACAACTAGGAAGGAGATCACACACACAGTGGGGAGTAGGTCTAGTCCACACAACAGTCATCTCTGAAAGTGCCTGTTTCTCCCCGGCGAGTACAGGTCAGAGCCCTCCAGTTCCTAGAGAACAGCAGTTAGCAGGTGCCATGTGTGCCTTGGGATATGTGCGGCCCTAACATCATGGACTCTGCAGCCTCCTTGGGTTATACAAGGGCTAGGGCAGGAAACGGTGGAGGCACCTGGGAGCTGGGCTTTCCCTGTGTTTGCTGAGTCAGGACAACATACCCAGGGGCCATCAGCCACCCATGACCCAACTACCTGCACCCGCACCTCCCAAGTAAACTCTACCAGAACATCTTCTCAGAATGGCTAGAAACAGCCCAGTTCATTAGGGCATCCTAAAAGCAAATGGATGGGGAACGCACCGTGTGATGGACGGACGCACAAGGAAGCACAGACGTGGGCAGGAGGCTGGCCTTGTGAGTGCTCATCACCCAATGCGACAGACTTCCCTTCCCACTGTGACACGCCCTGTAGAGCAGACTCACCATTTGTGCAACTAGCTGGTGAGTTTTACGGCAACCTTGACTATCGCCCTGGCAGCTGGCACACCCTAACCCAGGACTGGAGCCACGGAGGAGAACCTCCACTGGCAACCGCAGGCCCACTGTGGAAAGCCTGGCCTTGGGGAAGGTTGAGGACAGCTCATGCCGTCTCTGGGTAATGAAGACCACCTGTGGCCAATCAGCCTGGACTCCACTGTACTGTTAATAACGAGGAAGGCACAGCTTTGCGTCTTTTGGGCCCCTGGCTCGCTCAGATTGTGAGAGTTGCTGCAGAGAGGTTCTGGCCCTGGCCCAGGTCTCCGCTCCCAGACTGCTCCTGATAACAAGCATATGGGCTTCTTCAAGTGCAAGCATGTGGCACTCTATACATGCCAGCTCAGAGCATGTGTGCAGGGCTCGTCTCTAACATTCAAGGTAATGTGAGCAAAAGGAGTGTCTGTAGACATTAAAGAAGCAACTAAAATTTTACCTTGAGACAAGATAGGAAACCATATAAATATGAGAAGGCAACATGCCTGCATTCCTCTATGGGCCAGGCCTCGGGGAGCTTCCCGGCCACACCTCTGGAGCCAGGAGCAGTGGCAGGGAAGCCAGTAATACTGACCAAGTGAAGGAGTAACTACCACGGCTCACTCGCAGGCGGAAAAAGAGCAGATAAATAATAGATGCATAAAGGAGAGCCAAGTGGGAGAGGCATTTGTAACTTGTATTAGATGCGAAGGTCACCATCTGCAGCACCAGAAGTTTCTGCGACGAGACGAGAAAGCCTGCGTTCCACAGAAGATGGCGAGAGGACACAGCTCATCAGCAGGGAAATGGCTTCGACCTTGCTCATAACAAGAGCAATTTAAGCAAACTTAAATGTCATCCCTTGCCTATTAAATGAGCAGACTCCCAGAGTGTGACAGTACCTCTGTTGGGTGGTGTCAGGGTGCTGGATAGTTATAAGCTGCTGGCAGAAATATACCAACTCAGGAGGAGCCGAGCAACGCTACAGATGGGCTGGTGTTCAGCCGCCCACAGCCCAGCCCACCCCCAACCCACCCAACCCCATCTAAGAACTGGTCATGGAGCTGCACCGGCAAAGTGCCAAGATGTCAGCACTGTGTCAATGACAGTGAAGGACCAGAAATAGCCCAGCAGACAACACAAGAAGCACAAAGAGGACATGGGTACTGCCGTGCCCATCACAACACCAGGGAGCCTGTCTTGCTGAAGGCATCTCCAGGACCCCATGTTCAGAGCCCTGCAAAGGTAGAGAGAAAGTGTGCAGAGGAGGACAGGCAGACACGTGTTTAAACCATTAGGAACAGCCAGGTGTGGTGCAGAATGTTTGTAATT